CCCCCCCCCATATGTATAGAACAGTGCTAGTACTATTGTTCTACTGCAATATGGCGCCAGTAGTAAGGTACTACTGGAATGAGTACTAGCACCCTCTTTCTGCTTTCTGTGTTCTTATCTTCTTTCTTTTTCCCTTTTTTGCTTCTCAGTACTTAACTGATTTAACGCTCTCTTCTTTTTCTTTTTTGTGCCTCTCAGTCCTCTAAGGATTTAGTACTATATCCTTTTCCTTTTTCTCTCAGTGTACATGCTAAATTTAGTGGCATCTTCTTTCTGTGTGGGTGGTAAAAGGACACCACTATTACGTATAGTAGGTCTTGCTTCTTTTCTTTCCATCTGTTGTCTCGGTCTTTTCTGCCTTGCTTCTTCTCTGCACGACTTAATGACTGTTATTGTATAGATTTGCTTCTCTTTACTCAAACTCAAATTCTTTTCTGTTCTTTCAGGCCAAGGCCGCGGGTACACGAGGGGCAGGATGTGGAACAGAGCGGGGACTCTGGTGCTGTCGGTTGCTCAGGAGGGAGTGGTCAGGTCAAGCAAGCCTCGCCTGTAACCTCTGCCTCCGTGACCCCTACATCAGCTGTGAACCCTCGACCCGTGACCTCCACATCAACTGTGACCCCACCCACGACCTTGACTATGACCTCAGCTCCTGCCACTGCTATAAATACCTCCAGCTTCTGGTCTGCCAGACTCGGGCAGCATTTGATGCGATTTGCTAAGAGACTTGTGAGAATTTAAGATGATATTTCTAAAGAAATATTGATAATTAGAAAAAGAGAGGATATAATCTGTAGAAGAATTGTGTCAATGGGGGCACAATTTTTAAACAATTTTAAACTTGTGTAGAACTGATGAAATCCTCAAAGTCTTTGTTTTTTTGTTTACCAGAGTATGCCATAGTGGAAAACCCAATTTTAAAAAAAAATCTTTTTCTCATGTGCGAGACTTTTTTATGACCTCTATATCAACTATGACCTCACCCATGACCTCGACTGTGACCTCACCCTCTACTCTGAGTGTGATCCCAGCTATTACCTCAGCTGTAAATTCGTCCAGCTTCTGGTCTGCCACACTCCGGCCGAAACTGATGCTGTTTGCTAAGAGACTTGTGATAATTTTAGATGATGTTTGGAAAGAAACGATGAGAGAGAGAGAGAGAGGGGGAGAGAGAGAGAGAGGGAGGGGGGG